GCTATGGCCTGGGAAAGCAGTAGAAGATGGCCCAAGTCCTTGGGCCTCTGCACCCGCATGGGAGACTTGGAGGAAGCTCCTGGCTCCTGGCTTTGGATCAGAGCAGCTCTGGCCGTTGAGGCCAACTGGGGAGTGAACCAGCAGATGGAAGACCTCTCTCTCTCTCTCTCTCTCTGCCTCTCCTTCTCTCTCTGTATAACTCTGACTTTCAAATAAGTAAATAAATAAATCTTTAATTTCTATTTCAAGCTACCAATGTCACTGATTTCTTTTGGAAAGAGCAATTTCTTATCGAGTTAATTACGTATTTACTTAAAATGTCTTTGTTTAAAAATAATCTTAATTATCTAATTGAAAGTTGAAAGAGAGCAACAGAGATGTCCCATCATCTGGTTTACTCCTCAGATGCCCACAATGACTGGGACTGGGACAGGTATGAGCTGAGAGTCAGGAAGTCAACCTACATCTCTGACTCAGGAGGCGGAGACCTGCTGCCTCCCAGGATGTGCATTAGCAGGAAGCTAGAATCCGTAGGCCCTGGATTTAAAAACAGGCACTGAAGTGGGCTGTGGCCTTCTTATATATTTTTTTAAATTTTTTTTTGATAGGCAAAGTTAGACAGTGAGAGAGAGAGACAGAGAGATAGGCCTTCCTTCCGTTGGTTCACCTTCCAAATGGCCGCCCTGGCCGGCGTGCTGCACCGATCCGAGGCCAGGAGCCAGGTGTTTCCTCCTGGTCTCCCATGTGGGTGCAGGGCCCAAGGACCTGGGCCATCCTCCACTGCCCTCCCGGGCCACAGCAGAGAGCTGGACTGGAAGAGGGGCAACCCGGACAGAATCCGGGGTGCCAGCGCCGCAGGTGGAGGACTAGCCTAATGAGCCGTGGCGCCGGCCAAGGGCTGTGGTCTTCTTAATCAGTGTCTTAACTGCTAGGTCGAACGCCCATCCTTAAAATGTCTCTAAATGTCATCTAAGTTATTAAAGTGCTTTTTACACAACAAAACATTTGTAAATTTTGCTGTGGCTGCAACAAAGTAAGGTTTCCATTCATGATAAAGTTTTGACATACTCTTCTCCAGTCTCTGTTCAAAATATTGGCCCAGTTGTAGAACTAGTTTCTGTATCCACTTGATTCTACATTAATGGTACACATTCATTTTATAATTAACACATATTTTTAAGCTGTAAAAATGATTTGTTATAATTATGATAATAGTTATTTAAACTTAATTACCCTGCAAACAAAGAAAAACTAAGAATTTGTTGTCAGTAAACATACCTTTAAAGAATGGCTAAAGGATGTTTTCCAAAGAAAATGATAACAGGCTTAGAACTTCATGAAGGAAGAAAGCACAATGGAATGTAAAGAAGGGCACATATAATGGACTCTTCCTCACTTCATGAGTTTTAAAAATCATGTTTGATAGTTTGTATTAATTTACTCTTGTTGCATTAATAAATTACCAGAAACATAATGGCTTAATTAATATAAATCTATTGTCTTAGCATTCTGAAAGTCCAAAGTCCAAAATGGTTCCCCTGGTCCAGAATCAAAGTGTCAGCAGCGTTATATTCCTTGTGGAGCCTCTAGAAATCGCTTACTTTCCTTGGCTCATGGCCTGCCTCCTCCCTCTCCAACTACAGTAACGTTGGCTGAGTCTGTCTCACTTGAACTGTATGGTTCTGTGGTTCTCTCTTCTGCATCCCTCTTTCACTTTTAAGGATCCTTATGACTACATTGGACTCCTCTTGATAATTTAGGATAATCCCTGTACGTTACTGTCAGGTGATTAGCAACTCTGCTACCTAACCTGTTTGTTGATTATAAGGATTAAGATTTGGCCATCTTTGAAGGTGAGCACTACTCTGCCTATCTCAGTATGAGAAAATTATAAGGACAATGTCCTATGGTGTTCAATGCATGTAGAGGAAATACTTAAGACATTATTTTAAAATTAGGGCTGGATAACTCTCTAGAGAATTAGGATGAAAAATGCCACTCGCATGGCTGTGTACTATCTGATTCCATTTAATGTTTCTGAAATGACAAAAATGTTTAAACAGATGACATATTGCTGGGACAAATGGTTGTCACATGTTGGAGAGGAGGAGGGAGTTACAGATATAATAGGACAACAGGAGATCTTTGTGCGTTAGAACTGTTGAATATTGTAGTGATGGGTGCATGAACCTTACTTCGGTGATAACATTGAGTAAACCTTAATACATAAACACACACAAATGAGTACTAGTAAAATCAGGACTCTGAATATGATCGGTGCATTGTACAAATTTCAATATCTTGGTTGTGAGATGGGGTCTTGAAAGTCAATTTTTACTCATTTTTATTTTTATTTGATTATTTTGGGAGGATAAGAATTATTGTTTGTGTATTAATTTCAATGTCCCTGCAGACTGCAGGGTATTTTGGGATATTGATCATATGTTTAGTCTAAGGTCTTAAAAAATGGTTGGCAGAGTGGGAGGGAGCTGGTTTGTGAAAGACAACATGAGGTAGGGTAGCTCCCATGGTGTAGGAACTGAATCTTGACTGGTGACAGGTACACAATCCTGCACAGATTATAAGACTATGAAGAATTTAAGCGATCACACACAAAATAATTCCAATAGGGGAAATCCAAACATGATCTCTGCATTTTATCGATATCAGTATTTGTGATATTTTACTACAGTTTTAGAAAAGATTAGCATTGTTCAAGGGATCTAAAAAAGAGTAAAAGGACCTAATAAGTGAGGTTTCTATATTTCAGTTAAAATGGTAAATTTTCAACACTGGTAAACTGTGATAAATTATGTTTGTAGATTATAATAACTAAAAATTTTAAGAAAACTATACAAAAACCTATGAAGAAATCAAAATGTATTTCTGCAAAATATTCAGATGACTCAACAAGAAAGCAATAAAAGGGGAAACAGGAATGAGACACAGAGGGAATAAACATTGATCAAATAATAAAGTAGCAAATTTAAGCTGAGCATATCAATAATTACTTCAGATATAGCTGGTAGAAATACACCAATTAAAAAGCAGAAATTGGTATGCTGATATATTTAATATTAATTGTGATTTAAATAGATATCACTGTAACTCATACTATTTGCATAAACTCATGCTTGTGTTACATGAGGAAAAAACTCTCAAACTTAATCTATTGACATTGGTTACATTGGTTGATGTCTTTAGGTATAAAAAAGAATACACTGGGGCTGGTGCTGTGGCACAGTGGGTAAAGCCACTGCCTGCCATGCCAGCATCCCATATGGGTACTGGTTTGAGCCTCAGCTGCTCCACTTCCAATCCATCTCTCTGCTATGGCCAGGGATAGCAGTAGAAGATGGCCCAAGTCCTTGGGGCCCTACACCCATGTGGAAGATCCGGAAGAAGCTCCTGGCTCCTGGCTTTGGATTGGCCCACCTCTGACCATTGTGGCCAACTGGGAAGTGAACCAGCGGATGGAAGACCTCTCTCTCTCTCTTTCTCTGGCTTTTCTTCTCTCTCTGTGGAATTCTGACTTTCAAATAAGAAAATAAATCTTAAAAAAAAAGAATACACTGTAATAAAACAATAAAATATTAACAGAACACAAGAGTTAAAGTAAAATATATATTTACCAAAATGCTGTACCAGTTTTATATTTTAATTTAAGTTGAATTAAATTAAGTTAAAAATTGAATAGGGATTGGCATTGTGACATAATGGGTTAAGCCACCACCTGCAATGCAGGTATCCCACATGGTTGCCAGTTCCAATCCTGCTGCCCCACTTTTTTTTTTTTTAATATTTATTTATTTATCTGAAAGTCAGAGTTACAGAGAGAGGAGAGGCAGAGAGAGAGAGGTCTTCCATCCACTGGTTCACTTCCCAATTGGGTGCAACAGCCAGATCCGAAGCCAGGAGCCAGGAGCCAGGAGCCAGGAGCTTCTTCCAGGTCTCCCACGAGAGTGCAGGGGCCCAAGGACTTGGGCCATCTTGTACTGATTTGCCATAGCAGAGCTGGATCAGAATTGGAGCAGCTGGGTCTCGAACCGGTGCCCATATGGGATGCCAGCACTTCAGGCCAGGGCGTTACCCCTCTGCGCCACTGTGTAGTGCCTGCCTCCCACCCCTGCTGCCCCACTTCTGATCCATCTCATTAGTATTGCCCCTGGGACAGCAGAAGAAGATGGCTCTAGTGCTGCCACATATATGGGAGATACGGATGAATCTCCTGGCTCCTGGCTTCGTCTTGGCCCAGCGCTGGCCATTGTGGCCATTTGTGGCATGAACAAACAGATGGAAGCGCTCTCTCTCCCTACTCCCCACACTCTGTAACTCTGCCTTTCAAAAAATAAATCATTTTTTTTTTAAATTTACTATCCCAATCTTAATAGTGAAATTTCAAATGCTCAGTAGTCACAGATACAGCCTGTACTTAGACTTTCTATATAGTGGGGACAGCGCTGTGGCGCAGTGGGTTAACGCCCTGGCCTGAAGTGCTGGCATCCCATATGGGCGCCGGTTCGAGACCCAGCTGCTCCACTACCTGTCCAGCTCTCTGCTATGGCCCGGGAAGGCAGTAGAAGATGGCCCAAGTCCTTGGGCCCCTGCACCCATGTGGGAGACCCGGAAGAAGCAGAGTGGACAGTGAGAGAGAGAGAGACAGAGAGAAAGGTCTTCCTTTTGCCGTTGGTTCACCCTCCAATGGCCGCCGGGGCCAGCGCGCTGCGACCAGCGCATCACGCTGATCCAAAGCCAGGAGCCAGGTACTTCTCCTGGTCTCCCATGGGGTGCAGGGCCCAAGCACTTGGGCCATCCTCCACTGCACTCCCTGGCCACAGCAGAGAGCTGGCCTGGAAGAGGGGCAACCGGGACAGAATTCGGCGCCCCGACTGGGACTAGAACCCGGTGTGCTGGCACCGCAAGGTGGAGGATTAGCCTAGTGAGCCTCGGCACCGGCAGCAAGTTTTATAAGTAATAAAACTTACTTGTAATCATTTCAGTTTCTTAACACCCCACTGGAGGAAGCACCAAGAAATCCTGGCGTATTTCCTAAAACAGTGATAGACAAGCCCATTCTGGCCCTAGGAATAGCTGGTAAGTGTTTACTTAATGTTTAAATAGAAGTGTGAAATAAAATGAAACTAATGATAGCATTGTTGAAGAAGGAAGATAGTGTCCAGACCAGAGTTAACAATGGGCACAAGCAGTACGGGTGAGGCGAAGTGAGAGGCTCCAGGGCTACATCTGAGGGCTCTGAAGCAGAAAATGAGTCCCAACAGCAACCTCCAAGGAGAAAAACTAGGAAATAGTCAAGTGCCCAACGTACCCGAAGTCAGAACAGAGATGAGGAGGAGTAGCTCTGAAGACACAGAAAGCCTGGCTCCCAGATCCAAAGTAAAGAAACGGCCCAGAAAGAGCATTAAAAATGAAGCTTCGGAAGTTTCCCAAGAAAACAGAGATACAGCTTTAACGTAAGTTAAGGTTGCATTTCATGATTTTCACAGCAAATGTCTTCACTGAGTTTCTGATTTCTCTAGATTTTGAATTCTCTATGGAAGAGGAAAAGGATGCTGGAGATATAAAAGATGATTCTCTCTTAAAAACAAAAGGGAAACGTAAGAAACACATTTTAAAAGACAAAACAAGAGATTATACCATTGAGAGTACTATCAAAGAAAGCATGTAGCATTAATTCTATTGTTAGCCACTGAAACATTACATGTTGACTTATTTTTATTTTTTTAAAGGTGGACTCTTTTTTTTTAAAGATTTACTTATTTATTTGAAAGGCAGAGTTACAGAGAGGCAAAGGCAGAAGAGAGAGAGAGAGGTCTTCCATCTGCTAGTTCACTCCCCAAATAGCTGCAATGGCTGGAGCTGGGCTGATCCAAAGTCAGGAGCCAGGTACTTCCTCCATGTCTTCCACGTAGGTGCAGGGGCCCAAGGGCTTGGGCTATCTTCTGCTGTTCTCCAGGCCCTAGCAGAAAGCTGGATCCAAAGTGGCGCAGCCAGAACTCGAACCAGTGCCCATATGGGATTCTGGCCCTGCAGGCAGTGGCTTTACCCGCTACACCACAGTGCCAGCCCAACTTATTTTTATTGATGAATTTTCTACTTTGCTTCTTTTGTTTCTTTTCCTGGAACCCCCATTACTACATGTTGGACCTGCAAGTCTTCTCAATTTGTTTTTCTTATATCTTGCCTTCTGTTTTCCTTGTCTTTGGTCTTTTTGCTGTATTCTTTTTCAGATCTTTGTTGAACTTTATCTTCCAGTTCTTCTACTGAATTTTTCATTTCAGCAATTTTTTAGCTTTCAAGAGATATTTTTATTATCTGAATTTTTCTTTTTACAAAATAACATTAAATTTTCACAAAGGAAATCTTTTCTCTGATTACTCCTAGGATATTAATAATGGCTTTGCCGAGGTTTTCTTCTCCCTATAGTATCTGTTTCCTCTGAGTTCCTTTCTTCTGTTTATCAGTTTGATCTTTTTCTTCTATGTTAGAGGTCCTCCTTCTATGGGATACCCAAATGGAGTTTCTAGCCCCTGGTTTTGGCCTGGCCCAGTCCCAGCCATCTGGGTAGGGAACCAGCAGATGGAAGATCTCTCTCTCTCTCTCTCTCTCTCTCTCTGTCTCTCTTTGTCACTCCCTCTCTCTGTCACTCTGCCTTTACAAAAAAATTAATCCCCTTAGAAAGGAGAGAAAGAAGTTATTTTTTGTGTTATGGATGCTTCAGAGCAATAAATGAGAATTTTGTCAAGAGTTTTTCAGACTGGCCTTAATTAACTTTTTTTTTTCAAGATTTATTTATTTATTTGAAAGTCAGAGTTACACAGAGAGAGGAGAGGCAGAGAAAGAGGTCTTCACTCCCCAATTGGCCACAACGGGCAGAGCTGCGCCGATCTGAAGCCAGGAGCCAGGAGCCAGGAGCCAGGAGCCAGGAGCTTCCTCTGGGTCACCCACGTGGGTGCAGGGGCCCAAGGACTTGGGCCATCCTCTGCTGCTTTCCCAGTCCATAGCAGAGAGCTGGATTGGAAGTGGAGCAGCCAGGACTCGAACCCAGCGCCCAAAAGGGGTGCCGGCGCTGCAGGCAGCAGCTTTACCTGCGATGCCACAGTGCTGACCCCAGACATGTTTCTTGATTCTTAGTATGTGCACAATTCTGACCTAGTTAGTGGAACTCTACCTGTGAACAAGGCAGACACTGTCCATGCCTTCTTGGAACTGGTACTCTGGTAGAAGGGACAAGCATGAGGTAAGTATTTACAGCATGACTTGGTGTGGTGAGAATATAAATGAGGGATGCTTGCCTCTATCTCAGGTGTAATGCTTGAGCTGAGATCTGACAGAGGAGTAGAAGAAGTTAATTGGGAAAAGAACAAACATAGCAGGCCCGGAAAAGCCCAGCTGCCCTATATAATAGAAAGTGTAAACAACTCAGGTATTCCCTGATGGCCAGAGCCTCAAGGCAGAGAGAAAGAGACAAGACTGGGGCAGGAAGCAGCTTCCGCACTGTCATCATCTGTAATGCTCCCTCGGAGAGCAACTGGTGCAGAGATTGAGATGCCACTTGGGACTCTTATATCTGACACTGGAGTCCGTGGGTTCAAATTCTCCTTCTGTTTATGATCTAGCTTCCTACTAATGTGACCCTGGGAGGTAGCAGATGGTGGCTCAGGTACTTGGGTCCCTGCCACCCACTTGGTAGACCCCGCATTGATTGTTACAGGCATTCGGGGAGTGCACAAGGGGTTGGAAGGTCTCTCGCTCTCTTTCTGCCTTTCAAAAAAAAAAAAAAAAGAATTCCTTATAGTAGAAACACTTGGCAGGGAAATTTACTTACTTGCATAACAGACCATCCTGATTCAAAAGGATAACACATTTCAATTAGAACATCATATGACAAGTTTTCAAAAAGTATATAAGATATATATTAATAATTTTGACATTTATTAGAACACGAAATAGGTTTTCTAACTGGCAAACAAAAGCAGTATTTATTAAGAGTACCTGATACCATGTATTGTGTGACTTGGTAATGTATTTATACTCTCTCCCCAATGTTTTTGTTTTGTTTTAATCACAATTCAATGCTTAAAAGATAAAGCTTTTTTTTTTTTAACATTCATTGTTGCTCAATAGCTGAATGCATGTGCTGTCCTAGATCATGAGGTTAGTGGTGCTTATTTTAATATTAAATAAAAGGATTCATTTTCATTGAAGCAAACAGGGAATTAAGCTTACAACTTCAATTACCAATAATTAATTCCCCACACTGCAAGCCATGCAGTTTGCATTTAAACTCCCAATGCCCACAGGATAACAAAAATCTATTTTGATCACTTTTTATTTTCATCATTTAAGAAGTACATCTTATTTCAATTAGGCACGTACATTTCCAGATTATAAGAGAGAACAAATACTCCTTCTAAAAAGCCAGGGAGTTGGGGGTGGGGGAACCTTTTAAGTATGACAAAGAAATTTCTGAGATCTTTTCTTTCTCTTGTTTTTATTGAAGGAGCACCTAATATCTTGTAGAATTAGCTACCTCATGTATATAAAGCTATTACTTACAAGCAGATGGATACTTTCCTCAAATTTATTTCTTTTTATTAAGCTATTTTTTTTCCTAGCTTTTTCAAAAGAAATTGAGCACATGATTTAAAACAAGGCAAAATTAAGTCCTGCTCCAGAGCTGACCCCCAACCCCGACCGCAGGCATGAGGATAAGACAGACTCTTAGCCGGCGCCGTGGCTCAATAGGCTAATCCCCCGCCTAGCGGCGCCGGCACACCGGGTTCTAGTCCCAGTCGGGGCGCCGGATTCTATCCCGGTTACCCCTCTTCCAGGCCAGCTCTCTGCTGTGGCCCAGGAGTGCAGTGGAGGATGGCCCAAGTACTTGGGCCCTGCACCCCATGGGAGACCAGGAGAAGCACCTGGCTCCTGCCTTCGGATCAGCGCGGTGCGACCACCGGGGCGGCCATTGGAGGGTGAACCAACGGCAAAGGAAGACCTTTCTCTCTGTCTCTCTCTCTCACTGCCCACTCTGCCTGTAAAGACAGACTCTTCAGACAGGGAAGCTTGCCCCGGAGATGGATACGAGACACTGAGCTCACCAGGATGTCCACATTCTTTTGACCAATTCTGAGAAACAGCAAGAAATCGCCAGGTGTCACCGGAGCAGAGACACAGTCAGAGCTGGAATTCTTAGAAATCATGAGCGGCTTAGAATCAGGTTTCACAGGAAGCAGACAGACCTGTGTGATATACAGAAAATAGGTTTTTTTTTAAAAGCTTTTTTGTTTTTTGTTTGTTTTTGTGTTTTTATTGATTGAAATGTGGAGAAACAGAGAGAGAGAGATCTTCTATCCGCTGGTTCACTCCCTAAGTGGCCATAGCAGCCATGGTTGGGCCAGGAGGCAGCCAGGAAGTTGGAACTCCATCCAGGTCTCCCATGTGGGTGGCAAGGGGCCCAAGTAGTTGGGCCATCTTCTCTGCTTTCCTAGGCACATTAGCAGGGAGCTAGATGGGAAGTGGAGCAGCCAGAACTCTAACCAATACTCTGATAAGGGATGCCAGCATCACAGATGGTGGCCTAACCTTCTGAGGCACAATGCCAGTGCCAAAAGAAATTCTAACATTCATCATTCAAGTTTTATTAAGAATTAAGTGACTTCTAACCTATAAGTGTTAACTTTGCACCCAATAAAATTCATCATTCATAAGAGAATTGAACATGTTAAAGTTCATTTAAAAGAAACCATAAATTTACTGGAATTAGCTTCCACACTTGGCTTTCAGGAAAAAGAAAGCAACCATTTTTTAAAAAGAATGCATTATCAGTCATTTAATAAAAAGCAATAGCCACAGAGGCAGCTTCTAAGGTCAGTATATCTTCATTTCAATCTTCAATCCACCGCTCTACAATATCCAAACATGTCCAGAATCTTTTTTTTAAAGATCTATTTATTTATTTGAAAGTCAGAGTTACACAGAAAAGGAAAGGCAGAGAGAGAGAGAGGTCTTCCATCTGCTGGTTCACTCCCCAATTGGCCGCAACAACTGGAGCTGTGCCGATCCGAAGCCAGGAG